TTTAAGATTTTATTTATTTGACAGAGAGAGAGAGACAGCAAGAGAGGGAACACAAGCAGGGGGAATGGGAGAGGGAGAAGCAGGCTTCCTGCCAAGCAGGGAACCTGATGCCGGGCTCCATCCCAGAACCCTGGGATCAGGACCTGAACCAAAGGCAGAAGCTAATGACTGAGGCACCCAGGCGACCCAATATCCACCAAATTTAAAGAAATCCAGCATAGACAAGGCAATTTAAAGAGAAAAGATCAAGATTCTCAAAGCACAGATAATCTTTAAAAAGGAATAAACTACCAGGGCACCTGGGTAGCTCAGTGGGTTAAGCATCCAATTCTTGGTTTTGGCTCAGGTCAAGATCTCAAGGTCGTGAAATTGAGCCCTGCATCTGGCTCTGCACTCAGCGGGCCGTTTGCTTGGGATTCTCTCCCTCTCTGTCAGCTCCTCTCCCTGCCCCCCCCACCTCGCTCACTCACACTCTCTCTCTCATAAATAAATCTTTTTTAAAAAAAGGAATAAACTACCTTAATTGGCATTAAAATAATACATCACTCCATACCAAAAATAATTCCAGATGGATTACAGAGTTTAAAAATGTTGAAAACCTAGAAAAAGCAAATGACAGGACAGAATAGTTATTAAGTATCTTAAGGGAACTGACTTTCTAGTCTTTGAAGACACACACAAAAAATGAAAAAGAACAAATGAAAATGATAAACTTCTGTGTATCAAAAATATATAAACAAAAATGAAGAGAAACTGGCAGAAATATATGCAGCAAATGTAGTTACAGTTTAATGCCACTAAATATAAAGGGTTCCTGAAAACTAAAACCATAAACACTATAATTATTTCCAACTTATATAAGGATCCTGAGCCATAGGAGAAGGCGTGTCTTAGATTATGAAAGCACTAATATTAGCAGTTTTCAAGGGAAAAAAAAATCAGTATTTTTGTATTGTCTATGCTGGTCATTTGTCTATTTGCTCTCAGAACAATCCCCTGCCCTTCTTTGCCCCTCTCTCTATGGCAAGGAACTACATTCCCCAGGCTCCCTTGCTCTGGCTTCTGGATAGGTCCCACCAATAAGAGAGGCAGTGTTAGAGGCCTGGGGGTTAGGAGAGAAGCCTTGATACTTCTCCTCTTTCTACATCTTTTCTGCAGTTCTACCTCTGGTTAGTGAGCCCATGCCTTCATGGTCCCACCTCTGGATCACGTCCTCTCTGTGTCTTTAGCTCCTGCCACACAACCCCCATACCACAGCCCTGGTAACACCACATCTTTGCATTGTTTCTCTTGGTCCTAAAGATGGCAATCTCCTGCTGTTGCTCATTTCTTAAACTACCCTCCCATTCCCTGCTGGGCTTCTCTTCTCAACTAAAACCTGTTTACAAATTCCTTGTATTAAAATTTGCTATTTAAAACACTCCAGGTGTTTTCCTTACTAGGCCCTGATTCATGTAGTTCCTCAAATCAAGGAGTTAATGGGAGATTTCAGTAGGAGAGGCTGGTAATTCAAAGCAATGTTTATTGAACCTTATGTTTGGTGGGGGGAGGGTCAGACATCAAAACACAGAAAATTTGGTATATGAATTACCCATGATCCAGATTCACTTAACACTAATATATGTGTTCTATGGCCCACATTTATTTAAAAAAGTCATCATTGTAATAAATAAAAATAGTGTTTTAAAAAGTTTTAAAGACAAATAAAAAAGTTTTTAAAGAAATCAATAAAAACATGGCTGCTAACTCAGTAACCTACTATTAAACGAGCTTTAGCTTTAGCCTCCTCCCAAACTTAACTTTTTCCCTTCTTCCCCCTCCGCCTAGTGGCATTTTCTCCAGAAACAAGAAAAATTCAAAAGTTGGTGAAAGGCAGTGGAAAGTTTTATTCAGAAGCTTAAAAATTAGCTTCTTACAAGAACTTCTGCCAGAATATTTCTGCCAAGATTAAAAAATCAGAATCAAAGGACAAATACCATAAAATGATGACAATATGAATGAGAATAGATAAAAAGGTTGTATGTGAAAAACACCACAAGATATGACAGAATGTTTTATTTATATGTTATCCATACCTTAATATAAGATGGAATAAGAATGGTTTAGCTTCTCATCATGGTTTATCTTGAAAACAATCCAATATACAAAGATTGACCCCCATCAAACTCCCTTAAAGGACCATTCTGACCAGCCAATAATGGGAAAGAAATTGAGTAAGAAAAATGTAAACAAAAAAAAAAAAAAAAAAAAAGAAGAAAAAAGCAAAGAAAAGTGTACTGAAATAGCAGTTTGGGTGTGTTTTACAAAATGAAAGACTACCACTGTCTCTAGAAATCACTGATACTATAAATTTCAACCACTGGCCTAATGTTCCTGCTCATAGCCTAATACTTCCAGCCAGACTGAGTTCACTATTCCCTGGTATGGCTGTAATACTACACTAAACCATATTCTACTGGGCATAGTAATCTTTAACTTTTTATTTGCTGACTTGCTATCAGAAGTTAAATAATGTATACTTACCACAAAAATCAAGCCATGACAAGATAGATTCATTTGATTAATAACGTTCCATTGATTTTAAGGAGGTTCACAGACAGCTATACTAAAGTAAAATTTTACAAATATATATGTAACCACAAGTCAAATTTTCTTAAATTTTTTGTTCACTATATTTCATCTAGTCCAGGACACTTTTTTTTTAAAGATTTTTTTTAATTTATTTATTCATGAGAGACAGAGAGAGAGAGAGAGAGAGAGAGAGAGGCAGAGGGAGAAGCAGGCTTCCCGCTGAGCAGGGAGCCCGATGCGGGACTCGATCCCAGGACCCCGGGATCACGACCTGAACCGAAGGCAGACGCTCAACCATCTGAGCCACCCAGGTGCCCTAGTCCAGGACACTTTTAAAAACCATTTTAAAATGAAAAACTAAAAGTCACAGTTTTACTCTCTTCCCTCGAATTTCAATTTAAAAAAATCCCTATAAACATGAAAACATCAAAAAGGCCAATTACAAAAAGGAAGTGTCTCTCAAATAACACAAGCCACTTTTAATGCTTTAAGAATGTTTAAACACATAAATCAAGAAAATATTCAGGGGGAGTAGGGGGTTGGGGTAACTGGGTGATGGACACGGAGAAGGGTATGTGTTGTAATGAGCACTGGGTATTATATAAGGCTGATGAATCACAGACCTGTACGCCTGAAACAAATAATACATTATATGTTAATTAATTGAATTTAAAAAAAATAATAAGAAAAATAATAAGAAAAAGAAAAAAAGAAAATGTTCAGTAAGGTTACAGAGTGCATCTCCAGGCTAGACTGCATGCCAAAATTCACTTACTTGTATTAAAAAGAAGTGGGAAGAGAGAACTGGGTTACCTGAAAAACAGTGACACTCTTACCCACCCAAGGTAAAACGTTCAAAATATTGGAATTATAAATACCATCCAGTTAGAAATAATGTGTTACAAGACTATAAAGGAAACAAGGAAGCTGATTCCAGATGGCCAGAAGTAAAACATAACACTGGCTTCCTCATATATGTGTATGCTATGTATGCATGTTGACCATGAAATGTGAAGAACCAGGCTTGAGTTAACCAGTTAATACTACTATATTGACAAGTACATCCATACTTCATACCAAGAAACATGTAGGCAGAGGGATGGGGTGGCTGGGTGATAGACATTGGGGAAGATATGTGCTACTGTGAGCGCTGTGAATTGTGTAAGACTGTTGAATCACAGATCTGTACTTCTGAAACAAATAACGCAACATATTTTAAGAAAAAAAAAAAAGAAGAAGATAGCAGGAGAGGAAGAATGAAGGGGAGTAAGTCACAGGGGGAGACGAACCAGGAGAGATGATGGACTCTGAAAAACAAACTGAGGTTTCTAGAGGGGAGGAGGGTAGGGGGATGGGTTAGCCTGGTGATGGGTATTAAAGAGGGCACATTCTGCATGGAGCACTGGGTGTTATGAACAAACAATGAATCATGGAACACTACACCAAAACAAATTATGTAATATATGGTGATTAACATAACAATAAAAAATTTAAAAAAAAGAAATATGTAGGCATATTTATGACATTTTGCTTTTAGTTTAGATATATGTATAACTTTAAGAGTTACCTGTTAAGTGTAAAAGAGCTAGGAGCAATATATATCAAGTTTTTGCGGGATGTATGTGTGTTTAAAGAGAAGGCACATTTATAATGCATCAGAATTACTGAACTAGGATATAGTTTGCCAATTCTGACAAACATTCCATTGTCTTTAAATATAGAGGCTATTTCCTGGTAAATCTTTCAGTTTAGTTAAGAAATCATGTTACCATAACTACACCAATCCCTGAAGTTAAAGTTAGTTTCCACAATTTCAAGGAAAAGTCTATAATAATCTGCTGTCTACTCATTCCTGTCTAAATGCTATTAAAATTTCTCTGGCAACTTCAAGGGGAAAAAGTCTTTTTTAAAAATGTGTATTTGTAATACCTATAAAGAAATAACAAGGGTTTATAAACAAATCATTTTCTGTTGATCAAACAAAAGTCACATCAATTTCTTTAGTCCTGTATATGCTATTTATGTAATGAATTAAAAAAAATCCAACAGTTCAATATACTGCTATTTCCCCCCCCTTTTTTTAAATCGTCTCATTTTTAAGTGACAGGTTCAGTAGTGGTAGATACATTCACATTGTTATGCAACAGAGTTCCAGAATTTTCTCAAACTGTAAAACTGAAACTTTATACCCATTAAACAACTCCCCATTTCCCTCTCCCCCCAACCATGGTTACCACCATTCTACTTTCTCCTAATGGTTTTTATTTTTTGTTTTCCTTTTTAAAAGACTATCACTTTGTAAGAGTAAAAAAAATTAAAACCCGGGGCGCCTGGGTGGCTCAGTCGTTAAGCGTCTGCCTTCGGCTCAGGTCATGATCCCAGGGCCCTGGGATTGAGCCCCACATCGGGCTCCCTGCTCAGTGGGGAGCCTGCTTCTCCCTCTCCCACTCCCCTGCTTGTGTTCCCTCTCTCGCTGTCCCTCTCCCTGTAAAATAAATAAATAAAATCTTTAAAAAAAAAAATTAAAACCCAATGCAAATAATCATCATCATTTCTGGTGGAAGCCAAATTTGACCATGAAACTCAAGTATACTACATTTACAAAAACCTACATCATCAAAAATGAAACAAGCACAGACCTTATTTAAACAGCCTGATAAATCAACTTCCAAATTTTATTTAAGAAAATACTTGCTTCAAAAAATCATTGAAAAATAAGTTTTAAATTGTTACCAACTGTAGAGAAGTAAATCATCTGTATTATACTCAGAGCTTTACCATTAGATTGAATTTATAAAGTAGTTCTCCATTAGAATTTGTCCTTTACATAACAGCCTCCTTTGATGAGAAAATTTTTGTTCCTAATGTTTCTTGCCCCTCCCTCAGACAAATAAAAAGGGTGGGGTTTCACTGATGCAAATATCATACAGTTGATTACAAAACCTTTTTATTATGAAACTTAATTGGGATAACTTAGATAACTGTCTAGCAATAATAAAACTTAAATCTTAAAAAGAATGAAGGTTTAATGATGATAAAAAAATGAAAAAAACTCTTTGGGAAAACTGTCCCCCCACCCGAAAATATTTAACTACTTTCATTTAAAATTATAATCTAGTGACTAGAACAAAAGCCAAGACAATTGGACTATGGTTACCAGTTCACCTGATAAGTTAGCAGACTTTAAAAAAAGGTCATTCCTGCCAGGTATAAATGAAACATTTCCATGATTATCCACTATTTTGGGTTTTTGTTGTTTGTTTTAAAGATTTTATTTATTTATTTGACAGAGAGAGAGACATAGCAAGAGAGGGAACACAAGCAGGGGGAATGGGAGAGGGAGAAGCAGGCTTCCCGCCCAGCAGGGAGCCCGATGTGGGGCTCGATCCCAGAACCCTGGGATCATGACCTGAGCCGAAGGCAGATGCTTAACGACTGAGCCACCCAGGAGCCCCTATCGACTATTTTGTTTGTTTGTTTTTAAGTAGGCTCCCCACCCAACGTGGGGCTTGAACTCATGACCCTGAGATCAAGAGTTGCATACTCTACAAATTGAGCCAGCCAGGTGCCCCTCATGATCGTCCACTGTAATAAGACCAAAACTTGCCAGGAAGGGTTTCTGAAAGTAAAACTTAAAAGGCAACTTCAAATATTTTTTTAAATTCCCGAAACAGACTGAATCATTTTCCATATTAATATGCCTTTAATAATCTTCATGTTACTTTACTGATTACCCAAAAGATACTAAAATTTCTCAATTTCCTTATGAAATTGAAAAATACAGGTAAAGACAAAATCTTGGAGTAAAGACAAAAATAATTTTTTGTTTCACCTTACCTTTCAAAGTGAATATTATTGTGGAAGGGTGATGGCAATTAGTCACCACTCCATAAAAGTTATTATCACTGAACTATATATATGTAATCTGACCCCACTTCTCATTTATAATCAGTTACTCTTGCTACAAATACTAAACAATACTAAGAATACAAATACCAATATCTACAACTTTTTTAAACCTCAAATATTATTAAAACTTAACATCAAGCCTAAATAAAATATATTGCAATCAGCAGACTTTTCAGATCAAAAAAAAATATTTACTGTGTACCATAGTACTATGTACTGTGTTCCAAAAACAATCAAAAAACAAGTTCTTATTTAATCTAAAGGCAACGTGCTTCTGTCCTATCAATTAAACTGCTACAGATTTTAATACAATTAAAATTAATAATAAAAATTAATCTTGGGAAACAACTACCCTCAATCCTCTAAAATCATCATCTACCACTCTCCCTGCTTAAGTCTATTCCAGCCACTCAAGTCTTGCTGTTCCTCAAACATGCCAAGCAAACACTCATCTCAGGGTCTTTACTCTTTGCCCAAAATGCTCTTTCCCAAGAGCACTTCACCCAAGCCTCCATTCAAATGTCATCTTATCTGTGAGGCCTTACTTGTTCACCTTCTATAAATTAGTGACCCCCATTCAACAACCACTCCCTTCCCTACACTCCTTTGTTTTGCCCCAAACTATTTATCACCAACTATTTTTATTTGTTTATTGTCTCTTCTTCTCTCCCCTAAAATACAGGTCTGAGAGAGCACAGACTTTTTTTCACACTGCTGTATTCTCAGTGCCTAGAACAGTGCCTAGAACATTTATTGAACAGAGATGTTCAATAAATATTTATGGAATAAGTAAATAAACCAATGAATGAGCAGCAATGATCTACATTCAGTTGTACAGCTAAAGTTCAGACGGTTAGATCGTATATTTCATACAATGCATAGAGCTTGTAAATAGTATAATCACATACAGATCTTCTAACTTTGTCTATAGAAGGCTACATTTGGGTGAGGCACCCATCCCAGGTCCAGGTGGCTATGGCCAGAAAAGTAAGATGGCAAGGTAAGCAGCACAGAGCCCTACACAGAAAGGCTGCTGAATTGCAAAAACTCCAGGAAAGAGATAGTACAAATGGCAGACACCTTTCTTGTGTCTTGAGTAGTCTACATTTCACCTGTATATTCTCTAATAGTCAAATTTATCCCTCACTGGAGAAAAAAACTGTCCCCAGTAGCAACTGCCTCTCACCAGAAATATAGCTTATCATGTCACTTTATAAGAATTTTTTAAAAAGAGGGCACCTGGGTGGCTCAGTCAGTTAAGTATCTGCCTTCGGCTTGGGTCATGATCCAGGGTCCTGGGATGGAGCTGCGCATCAAGCTCCCTGCTCCTGCTCGGCGGGTGGGCGGGGAATCTGCTTCTCCCTCTCCCCCTAGTCATGCGCACACCTCTCTCTAATAAATAAAATCTTTTTTAAAAAACTAATTCATTTAACTAAATAAACAAATTTTTAAAAATCAAAAGAATTTAAAAAAAGAAAAAGTCATAGTGAATGGTAATCACAGTAGAAAGAATGTCTAATTGGAGGTATGACTAGTACCCACCCTCCTTTTAGATCTCTTTGAGAGTTTATGCAAGATCTGACAGATGGAAAGGAAATGGCCCATTCATTCAAGAAATATTTATTATGCACCTTTTATAAGATACTTCAAGAAATAATTCAAACCACGGGTGTGTGTGTGTGTGTGTACCCGTGTGTGAAGGCAGCTTCTAAAAATTTCAATATAAAAACCTTAAAAATATAAAATTTCTTCAAAAAAGAAAAGCAAAATTGAATTTTGAAGATGACATTATCAAAGAAGTGATGGATCTAGAAATATTATTTCAAAAATGGTGTCAAAACTGCTTCAATGAGATATTATTGGTATTACTACAAAGTAACTATTTAAAAATTTTATTTTTTTATTTTTTCATTTATTTTTTATTCTTCCAGGTCTTATTTAAATTCTAGTTAGTTAACATCTAGCATAATATTGGTTTCAGGTGTAGAATTTAGTGATTCACCACTTACATACAACCCCCCAGTGCTCATCACCACAAGTGCCTTCCTTAATACCCATCACCCATTTAGCCCATCCCCCTGCCCACCTCCCCTTAGTTTGTTCTCTATAGTTAATAGTCTTTTTCTGGTTTGCCTCCCTCTCTTTAAAGACTTTATTATTTTTAAGTAATCTCTACACCCAACATGGGGCTCAAACTTATAACCCCAAGATCAAAAGTCGCATGCTCCATCAATTAAGCCAACCAGGCACCCCATTGTAAGAGAACTTTTATTATTATTAGGTAACTTTCACTAAGTACTTACTATGTGCCAGGCACATAACATGTATTAATTTATTCCACTTGACAATGCTATGATGTAAATATTTTACCCCCATTTGGCAGATGAAGAACCTGGGGTACAGTTAAGTAAACTGTCCAAATATATACATATATATATATATATATATGGTAAATTATATATATATATATGGTAAATTATATATATGGTAGATTTAAGAGCCAGGACTCATATGCAGGCATTGTGCTTCAGAAACTGTACTTACCATAACTACAATAAACAGCATGTAGAATATTGTCCACTAAAAATATAATCTTAAACTGGTATGTTGGGAGAAAATATAAACCCTAAAAAAAAATCACTGTAAAAAAGGTCAATAAAAACACAATACTAGTATATTAGCTTTGGTAATACAATATTCACAAATGTTTGACCATTCATTATTATATCGTAATTGCCTAAAGTGTTTTCTTAAGGCTAGAAATTAATTACTATTAGGTTACTTTAAATGTTAAGTTAAAATCAAGAAAACTGCATCTAAAATTTGCTTTAGGGGTGCCTGGGTGGCTCAGTTGGTTAAGCATCCTACTCTTGGTTTCAGCTCAGGTCAGGATCAGGGTCATGGGATCGAGCCCCATGTTGGGCTCACACTCAGCGTGGAGTCCGCTTGGGATTATCATTCCCTTTCCCTCCGCCCCTCCACCCCCCATGTATGCACTCTCTCTACATATAAAATAAATAAATCTTTAAAAATATATATAAATAAGTTTTTATACTAGTGTATTAATTTATCATATTAATGTACTATAGGTAATTCATAAGTTGGTTGTAAAGCATTATTTTGCAAATATAACTCAAAACTCACAGGAAAACTCATTCTTGCTCTGAATTTATAAAAAGCTGACCTAAATATGAAGTTTGAAGTTGTGTCATTTACCAAGGCATTATGATTTATTACTGCAGACTTAAACCTATATGATAGTGATGACACTTTTATCCATTACCAATGTGTTTAAGGCATGAAAATCTGAGTGTACTAAAGTATCAATGGGCAGCTTCTCCTATTAGATGTTAACCCTATCCAAGCGACCTCTCTGAAAGATTCAGAAATGAAAACATTAAATCTTATAAACTCCCTGCAGTTAAGATAATAAAAAAGTCACAACATAACCTTTGGCATTGGGTACACTAACCAACCAACAGGTTAAAGCATTCTTTTTAAAAATAGACACATTTTAAAACCTTTTTCAGTTCAACATAATAGACCTAGAATAAACATCCTAACACTCACTTTATCTCTGAGGCATACTCTAACAAAAGTGTTACCAACATAATTTGTAAACAACTCCTTAGTGTGTATGCAACATTTCTGTATTAAAGTAGAAGAGGTCATAACATCACAAGGAAATGAAAACAGAAGCCATCTGGGCAACAAGCTGCTTCTTAGAGTTATAAGGAAAATTTAAAAGAATACAAAACAGAACAAAAATATAATCAGCATGCAAATAACAATGGAAAAAATAATGTATATGTTGTAACTGTAAGTAACTTTTCAAAACAAACATATTAAAATGAGTATTTTACTTCCAAATAGTCACTTTAGAAGTCTATAGAGTCATTCCTTTGCTCAAAAACTGTTTTGAATTCTCTCCCAGAAACTTTTACCAAAACCAACTTACAAAACACACCAGTTTGTAGATATGGTAAAATCACAGTTAATAATAACCCACACTCTCTAGCTCATCTCTAATCCAAAGGAATCAGAATCCCTCTTAAATCCCCAGGAGTTATCCCATGATTATTCCCAGTGTTTTATTCTCCTCAGTACCTTGACCCTTGTCTCTCATTCGGACACTAGACTTCCCTCATCCCACTCTGCTCTCCTCCTTGCTCACAGCATTGTTGCCACACTGGCACCCTTTCTATTTCTTGACCACACCAAGTTCTTTCCTGTTTCAAGGCCTTTGCACTTGCCGTTCTCTGTGCCAGCTATGCTCTTCTCCTGGCTCTTCCCATCACTGGCTCCTTACTCTTAAATCAACGTTGCCTCCTCAGTCAAAAGGGCCTCTCTTGACCACCCAATTTAAAGGTAAAGACCTTACCTCCAGACACTCATCCTCCTCCCCCAATTACTCCCTAGCATATCACCTTGTTAAATTACACTGCTTATTTATGTATATACTTTGAACTATCAGTCCCATTTACTAGACTCTAAGGTCTAGTCTAGATTTGTTAGCCTAGATAGTCTGCTTATCTATTTTCAATACCTATGTCGATAGTGAGCACACAGTAGGTGCTCAATGATAATGAACAAATGACTCCATGCCCAGATGTAGGTATAGCAAATTGTTTCTGCCACTGCCACTTCTGTGTCTCCATGGATTCTACAAATCTTAGTCTGGAAGTTCCCTGCTATGCTGACACAGGCTACACGCTCAATGCACCTTACTGTGCTCTCTTCCCAGATCTGATTACATAAATGTCCTCTCTTACTTCTAAGCTCCTTCAGATATTTCATATCATGTTCCATGTGCCTTTATGTCAGAAAATAGAGAACCACCCTCTATACCCAAGGGCCAGTACACAGTAAGAGATCAATAAATATGTGCTGACTCACACCTTGTCATATCAGGGCTCTGGCACAAGTCATTCAGGAGAAGGGCAGTGCCAGAAGATGATACCAAGAGGACATACATACCCTGCTCTACCAAGAATTTACCCATGTCGCATATAACATAATTGTTATCAAAAGATAACAATTAAAAATAATAATAAAATCTCCAGGGACTATGCTTGAATACACTCAATTATCTGTTTCCTGAATTCCTTCCCATGAGGTTTCTTGATCTTTCAAGCAAACAGCACACACCCATACACAAACACTTGCCCCTCTCAGACTCTCCTAACTTCCATATATGTCCAGACAGGCCTGAATTCACATATGTACAAAGCATAGACCAGTTTCAGTTTTCTTTCTCTTTTTAAACAAAAGATATACATATTGTAAAAATTTCAAACCATACTAAAGTGTACAGAGAAAACAGTGACATTTCCATCAAGCCCACTGCCCAGTGCAGCGTCTAAATCCTACACTATCCAGTCACACAAAAATCAGTTTCCTGACTTAATAACTATATTTTTGCATTGGTCTTAATATATCTGAGGCGTTAGGTTCAGGTCTGAGTCACACATAAAGAGACATTTAAAACTTTTAAAAGCATATACCCAAGGGTGTGAAGAGAGGCAAACTATCATGAGAGAAACATTTGAAGAAATGGCTTCCTACAGAATATCCACAAGACTCAAAGGGAAATACAACTCAATCACTTATCTGAAAGGCTGTTAAGTGAGAAAGGGTTATCCTTTGTTGTACATGACGCTAAAAGACAGAAGCAGAACCGTTGGGTCAAACTTACAGAAAAATTCTGACTGACACAAAGAAAGATTGTATCTTGGGAGGCAGGGGGTTATTGTATGATGTAACCTCTGGGACATTTCCTAGAAACTTAAACCCTGACTAGAATTAAAAACAAAGAAAACCAAAATGTTTCACCCGTTAATTCTATCAATTATGTATATTAACAAAACAAATCTAAGGAAATTTGATTGCGATTGCAACCCTGCTTCCCATTTGTCCTCTATTATCATTATGATCATCAGTCAATAGCTACTGAACACAAACTGGGAATTCTAGCATGATCTTGACCCATGCTGTAGAGTCCCCCCACCCCCACCCCCACGAGAGTGGTTCACAATTTAACAAAGTATATAACGTATTTAAATGTACTTTTACTCACTTAAATATACTGCTGTGAAACCTAGTATGAAGACCAAAAATGTGTACTGTTCTCTGGTTCATGGGATTAAAAAAACAGTAACTAGTTCTTTTTAACATATCATTTGGTTTAGCAATGAGGTGTAAAGTAAAACCAAGTATAGTCAAAGATTCATAAAGAGGTCTTTGATAAATTCAACATTATTAAATCTTATAGTGTTAAAATATTTTATGTAGTATGCCAACTTCAGCCCTCTAAATCTTTGTCACAAAGATACTTACAACATTGTAAAGAGAACTAAACCCTGATTGTCATTTATTTACAAAAAGGATTTGACCTATGGTGACTGAACTCTGAAAAAAGGGAAAAGACTGGTGGTTGGGGAAAATTAGATCGGTCACATTATTTAGTCAATGACAGTTCCCATGTAACTTAGCCTTAGTCTTTTTGCTGAAATGATCTAAGTAACAAAAGATCCAGAATAAAAATGTTTTTTAAAAAAGCAAAGCCATATATGGTTCCCAAATATTTGTGTACAAAATGGAACACCAATGGTAGGTGAGAAACATCCAGTCAGCATGTGAGAATCCCTAAACATCCTGAATTCAATGTCTAGGGCCTGGAGTCTACATTTTTAAAATCTCTTAGGTGATTTCGATAATTGCTTTGGAAACCAGTCATATTTTTTCTTAATAATCTCAGTTATTCCCATCTATACAAGTCTTTTATTCTATAGCATTTATTCTCACTTTAAGAAATACACACACACAAGGGCGGCTGGCTGGCTCACTCAGTGGAGCATCCAACTCTTGATCTTGGGCTTGTGACTGCGAGCCCCAGGTTGGGTACAGAGATTACTTAAAATCTTAAAAAAAAAAAAAAAAAGAAATACACACACAAACTTGACTGTCAGTAGTGAAAATTGTCATCTATTCCCAGAAAATAGAGTATACTGGTTAAAAGCATTATGACTACTCAATTTGACTGGTTTGATCAATTACTGGCTGTGTAACTCTGGACATGTAATTTAACTTCTCTCTTCCTTTTAAAAATCATACTTTCTCAGAGGACTGTTAATGAAAATTAAATAATGGAACATGTGCAAAACATTTGGAGCAGGGTCTAGACAATAACAAGGGCTCAATAAATGTTAGGGTATTTATGTTACTATTATTATTATTATTTAATATAGGAAAGAAGGGAGACCCAAGCAAGTTGGTGTAGTCAAAAATTTGAAAGAACACTTGGGATATGAATGTGCCTTGAAGGATGGGTAGAGGATTAAAGGTAAGAAGAAACTAAGGTAGTAAGCCCGAAAAATTAGGAAACCAAGGACTTTACCGTTCAAAATGGGCACTTTGTGCCATAAACTCAATTGTATTAAGTGGGTCCATTTATATGCAGCCTGAATGCCAGGCAGAGGAGTCAAGCAATAATTCAAGAGGTAACAGGAAGCCCTTAACAGTTCTTAAATAGGGCAGTAATATGTTAAATGCAGGATTTTAGAATTCCTGCCTGGGCAAACCACCAGCCTGAATAGAAAGAACCAAACTACAAGAGGATGAACCCATTGGGGCACCTGGGTGGCTCAGTCTGCCAGCATTTGCCTTCTGCTCAGATCATGATCCCAGGGTCCTGGGATCGAGCCCCACATCAGGCTCCCTGCTAGGCCAGGAGTCTGCCTGTCCCTCTCCTTCTGCCTGCCGACCCCCTTGCTTGTGCTCTCCCTGTCAAACAAGTAAACAAAATCTTAAAAAAAAGTGGTGGCGGGGAATAGGCCATTGACAAAGTTCGGAAACACCTGTGTCTACTAAAATATCAAAGTATCACTCTGAGAATTGGATACCAATAACTAGAATCTTCCAGAATAGAGGTACATATAAACAAAAATGCCTACTATAAAAAGATGAGAACTATTTGTAGAATATTTAGAAGTTAGTAGCATAGAGATACTCCAAGAGAATGTCCAAAATCATGAAAACTACATGTGTAATAATACTTGTATCTATATGTATAAACTTCTTCCTCCAGAACATCTTTAAAGGTTCCTAGTTAAGGGACAAAGCATTTGTTTTCTATAGGATATTTGTCCTCCACTACCTTTTCTCAAGAAGAAAGATACTTTCAGAACATATCCACAACCTCCTCTGGCTAGCATTATACAACCCTACTAAATTTTTTAATTTTACCATCTATAAAAGTTAAAATCTCAGAAATCATTTGTGAAATACTAGGATAATTATTGGATCCTCAACAGAACCAAATCATAACACTTAAATCCTTGATAGAATGAATAGTAAATGGCATCCAATTGTTAATGTCATTAAAATAAAATTTTAGTAAATCAAAATTTACGCAAGACAACTATGAAGAACAACAGCCATTGCTAAATCAATTTTTGGATCCTGAAAAAAAAAAGTTTAACAAATCACAGAATTCAAATAACAAATGGTGTAAATTCTTAGCGAGTTCCAAACTCTTCTCATCATATATTTTTTTAAGATTTTATTTTTAAGTGGGGCACCTGGGTGGCTCAGTCAGTTACTTGTCTGCCTTCAGCTCACATCATGATCCCAGGGTCCTGAGATTGAGCCCCACATCTGGTTCCCTGCTTAGCAAGGAGTCTGCTTCTCCCTCTGCCCTCCCCCATGCTCATGCTCACTCTCTCTCTCTGACAAATAAATAAAATCTTTAAAAAAAAAAAAGGCATCGCTAAATAAATAAAATCTTTAAAAAAAAAAGATTTTATTTTTATGTAATCTCTATACTCAACATGGGGCTCAAACCCACAACCCTCAGATCAAGAGTCGCATGCTCCACCAACTGCGCCAGCTAGGCGCCCCTCTTCTCATCATATTTAAAAATTTGAGGGGTGCCTGTGTGGCTCAGTCAGTTGGGTGCCTGCCTCCGGCTCAGGTCATGATTCCAGGGTCCTGGGATTGAGCCCCGCATCAGGCTCCCTGCTCGCGGGGAGCCTGCTTCACCCTCTACTCCCCACTATGCTCTCTCTTGCTCTCTAATAAATAAATAAAATCTTTTAAAAAAAATTTTTACAGCAACACACTAAAGGGAAATTCCACATTTCCCCTTTAACCACATAAAACACAAACATCCCTGGCATCCTTACTCTTTTTGTCACCAAGGTTACCACCACACACACTCTGCTGCTCAAACCTGGGTAAAATGAAGAAATACATTATGTCACGCGTTAGTATGCCTTCATGATGCCTGATTCACTATGTTATGGAACACCAAACACTTCAGTTAAGCTCCACTGGCTAATAAAGGTTGATAATGAAAACACAATGAGTTTCCTAGGGGTGAATTTTACTATGTCCCAGGGCCATACTGAACAGTTCATAATGGTCAGTCTCCCTGTCACATCATTTAAAGTGAGTTAGAGAGGATGTGAAATCCCACAATATATCAGGCTCCAGGAGAAACTCTGAAAGTTACAACCTTGATTCTATTAAATGTGATTTGCTTAAATTTTTCAGAAAGTCTATGACAGGGCAATATGCCAAAAACCGTTCAACAAAAGACAAACAAAATCTTTCACATGTAATTGGAAGTAATATGTTAACATTGAGAGGAAATCGGCTTAAAAATAGGAAATAAACTTTAAAAAAAAAGAATCAGGAAATAAATTACAAAAGTAACTATTAATCAAAACTCTGAATGAAAAAATTCAAAGAACATCATCCCCAGAAATTAATGGTATCATTTATAGAAGAGCAGGACATTTTTATTTCATATGTTCCTATGCAAAATGGGAAAAATGAACCACTTAAAAACAGAAAATCCTCAGTGGACTACTTGTGATTAAGTCCTATAAAAAGGAGAAAAGTGGGGGTGTCTGGGTGGCTCAGTCGTTAAGCGTCTGCCTTTGACTCAGGTCATGATTCAGGGATCAAGCCCCACATCGGGCTCCCTGGTCCGCGGGAGGCCTGCTTCTCCCTCTCCCGCTCCCCCTGCTTGTGTCCCCTCTCTTGCTGTGTCTCTCTCTGTCAAATAAATAAATAAAAATTTTTTAAAAAAAGGAGAAAAGTGGAAAAGTGGAAATAGGCCCAACTGATTAGAAAAGACCAAAGTCTGTTGAAATGTGTGCTAGCGCCGGTATGAGGAAACCAGCATTCTTATACTGTGGGTAGGAGTGTCGCAATAGAGATAGCTGGCAATATCAATCAAAATTATAAATGTATATAACCCTTTGACTCGGCAATTCCATTTCTAGGAATTTATCTGACAGATATGTTCATATGTATGCCATATACATAAATCCAAAAATTACACTGCAGTATCAGTAAAACCAGTTGAATAAATTATGATAAATCCAAACAATGCACCTATATAAAAAGAATGGAGATGTATTTACTGATTTGGGGTTAAGTGAAGAAAACAAAATGCCAAAAAAAAGTATAGTTTTTAAGGATGCTGTTTGTGTTGAAAAGGGGATTGATAAGAATATATATGTATATGCATATATCCGTATAAATTATCTCTGAAACTATACACAAGAAACTGCTAACTGGTTGCTTCCAGGAAGAAGAAATGAATGGCAGGACAACAGGAGACTCTCCTTTATATGCTATTATACCTTTGGAATTTCAAACCATATGAATGTATTACCTAAAAAGAAGCATAAATTAACCAAACTTTAAAAGCAGGTAAGGTGAAAGGTTAAAAAGACTGAGTACCAAATGTGACCC